CACAGTGACTTGGTAAACAATAATTTTCCCCAAACTGAAGGCTTCTAATAGGTCCTGGAGGTTCTTTGACATTCAGAGAACTTTTGAATACATTCTGCCAACTCTATACATTTCCAGAACGTCTTGAGTTCGTAAAGAAGTATTTTTAGTAGAAGCCTGTAATACCAGAATGCAAGTGATGTTGGAAAAGGGGGGAGTCTGGCGAAGGATGGTCTCCAAGTCTCCTTTGAAATGACATGAATTTGAGGCCACTCGTGTTTAAGCAACGTATTAAATGCATTCATTTACTGCCCTTATTTTGGGATTATCACTAATATGGAAATGGCTTTATTCTTTCAAAATAGTAGAAGAACATTTGACCAGGTAATTAGCCATCATGCTGAATAGAGAGCTTTCAGAGCAGGAGGAGAGTGGTTTGAAGAAAAAGTTAGAGCTGTAGTTAAGCAGTTGATTCAGCAAGCTGTGCCTCGTCCTGAGAGCTTATTAAAGGTAATGCAGTGCCTATGGAATTAGATACATTATAAAAACATCTGTGCCTTGGGATCTTCAGAGGATTACTTTTGTGGAAAATATGATGATCTTTCTCGTAATAGCTTAAATTTGCAGAAGGATCTGTCAGTCTATGGATTTTATATGTATTTTATTGTATATATATATAAATTTTTTGCCACTGGCAGGAAGAGGATGCAGCTGATGCAGATGCAGTGTGAGTTATCTGGTGATGTATAAAGCAGCCTGTGTTGTTTGCCTGCAGACAGCCCAAATAGTGGGAAGCATTTTGTAGTAAGATGAGAAAACTGTGTTTCATTTTCATGCAATTTCTTAATTTTTGGTACTGCAGAGTAACAAGTGCCTTACTGAAGTAATGCTCAAAAGATGATGCAAATTTTCCTCATTATAGCAGCTCCACATCTTTGTGTGTCACTTGCACATGTTTGTGGATTGAATGCTAACCCTGTTTTCTGCAAGCAGTCTCCCATTCTCCCAGTCCTGAGCCCTCTTGGTTCGACCAGAGGGAAGCAAGTGATGGACTTCTGTTGCTCAGCTTCAGGGCTAGCTGGAGATGCCTGCTTTCCCTTTCTGAAGTTTTGTGCTGACTGTGTGTAGAACTTCTATTTGACCCTTCAAACACGTTTCCAGCCCACTGGAGGCACACTTTGATTTGAAGCAGTGCTTATTCAAAAAGAAAATTCTAGTAGCAAACACATGAAGAGTTCTGCATGGGAAAAGGCTTTTAGATCAATGTTAGTCTCTTGAGAATCTCTGACTTTTTGCACTAACAGTGGTGCCAATACTGTGATTTTTATTAAGAAAAACCTAATGTCTGCTTCCTTTTTCTCCTCAGCTACCCTCTGTATCCAGATAACGAAGAAAACGTTCAGTATCTTAACAGTTGAAAACAAACATTTTATCATGAAAGTGAATCTCATGCAAATGAGATGAAAAATGCTGAAGTTTGGGAGAAGTGCTTTTTTGGTATTTAATGCCAGACTGAGGAGGGTTACAAGAGATTTGTGGAAATTATGTCCCTTGGAATACCTTTTGTTCAGTTGTTACACAAATGTATGGGTAACAAGATAGCACGTTTAAAGATGCACAAGAATATGCACTGCAGCTGTAACCAGCAGTTATTAAATTAGTTAATAGTTGTTAAACTAGCTGATAAAACCTAAGTTTATTATATCAGCTGCTACTTGGGTCATGATGGCTTCCATATCCTTTTCTGTATTGTCTTTGATCATCCTCTTTTATTTTTAAGTGTTCCAAAGCTTTCCCAAGCACTTTTAATGGCCAGATTATTTCTGTGTTCCCTTTTTAAGCCATTACCGAGGTACAATCCATCCACGATCTGAACCAAAGCCAAATTATTGCAGGAATAATCTATATAAAGAAATGTAGTAACAGGTGCTTGTAGCAGGATGAGTTACGGAGCTGTAGATCAGGGTATGTAACTCCTTGTGTTGTTGTGTGTGCCAGGAGACCCTTCCTCATCACAGGATTGCTTTAACAATCACCATCAAGTGCTACTGAATGCTGCAAAAACAAAGTGCATTCCTAAATTACAGTGCAGCAGTGTGAGTGCTGCAAGTTAGCTTCTTGGCTTCTTTAAGATGCTGGAAATTACAGTGAACTTGCCTCAGGGTAAAACACATTAAACAAATCTTTGGTCTCGCTTCATGACATGGGAAACCCCTAATGCAATTTTTGGCATCGAATAAAACAAAACAGTAAATGGAAAGGGGCAAAGCTTTTCCTTCATGGACACAGGATGAGAGGATTTAGCATAGGAGCACAACATAATGGCAAGAGATGTTAAGAAAACCTTTTCCTCCATTCCTAAACTTCAAGAGTGCTTCAAAAGCTGCCTCGAAAAGAGAACGCTGACAAAGATGAATGGTAAATCTGAATACTGAGCTCAGAAGTTCTGTGGGTCATAGCTTACAGGTGTCTTCAAGTTGCAGGAAGGAAAACAAGGAAAAAGCTATCAAAGTAAACATTCTTCAGTGCATGGGAAGATGACAGATTCTTTCTAACAAGATTTTCTGCTCTTCTGGAGGAAGAGCGTTTGTTAATAAACCATTTGAGAATCCATTTTTAGGGGATTTAATAAAATATACGCAGATTGCCTTCCACTGCAGAAGCTATTATTCCCTTGGGTTGAAAAAGTGACTGACTGTGGGCATTAATGGTTGCTCCTTGTGATTCCTGGCATTATATCTTGCACCCATTTACACTTTTCCAATCTGAAGTGAAATAATTTTTTATGAGAACCTTGCCTTTGATTCATAGCTCTTACGAGCCATGTATGTGTTTCATATTTTATTTATTTGTACGCAGTCATGTCCGTAATTCTGGTTGTTTTAGTGCCTGTGGCAATAGCCTGGGTATTGTATATGCTTGTGCATAGTATTCTGTGCACAGGAAAGTTTTCATATCCTGGAAGTGCCATTAAATAGAAGAGGTAATAACTTCCATCAAAAACTGTAGATGATGATGCTGTTGATTAAAACTTGAACCTCATATGGTCTAATAGATGTGTGCCTAGAGGGGCCAACACAAAGGAGAAAAGAGATTTTCTTAAGAATTTGGAGGGAGGTTTTCTAGTGCCATCTTTTTGGTGATGCATGGAAGTTATGCTGCTTTCAAGTATGGGAGAAATCCGGTGGAGCTGAGGGGTGTTAAGTACTTCTGATAAGGAATCTTGTCCTTTCTGAGGCTTTGATTCATTTAAATTAGGAAATGATTTTTCTACTAAGGATGCTTTATACGGCTGTGTTTGCGAAAAATACCCAGTGATTTCAGTAGCTGAGATGATAGGAGCAGGGGAAGGCTGGGGCAAATGATCCCCAGAACATGAATAGCTTTAAGGATGTAAAGTTCAAGTTCAGTTATACCCCAGTGCATCCTGTCTGTGGTATCTCCCCAGCTTCCTTTTGTCAGACATGGCAGAGAGAAGGCAGAAGTGGATTTAGCACAGCCCATCGAGTAGGTGCCTGGGCAGATATTAGCTTTGCAGAAGGAAGAATGAAATCTGAAATGCTGATAATATTACAGTCAGTGGCAGCTCTAATACACCTTAAGTGGATGTCCTTAGGTGCATCATTTGTTCGGTTCTCTTCTTTACCAGAATTATCTTCACATCATGTCCAAGAACTGAGGACTTAGTGGCAGGCTGTGGATGGCCAGATGCACTTCATTGCTTGCTCATAATATAACCCTTTCTACAAAAAGAGATTACAGATAGGATGCTGCCAGGAAATGACCGAGCTGGCAGAGAAGTGGATGAACACAGGGCCAGGCACTTTTAGAAGAGATGCTTTCTTTTGCAGTGACATTGGTACACATAGGAAGTGTTAGTACTGTTCATCATTTGGTCTTTCTGTGCTCGTTTGAGAACAGTGTCCCAACAGCAGGGTGTAATCAGTATTCCTGAATAGGAGCTTGAACAGAGCTAGCCATCGTACCGAAGGCAATGTACTATTTGTCCCCCCTGATCTGGATGTACCTCAAAAGGGATCAACTCAAGTACTTAACAGCAGAGAATAAATTCAGATCTAGTGTTAAGAACGTGAAATATGTTCTTAACATATTCTTCTTGTATTAAGAAATGAATTTTGCAAGCATACAGGATCCTTTGTTGTTTTTTTTTCTGGTGTGCATCAAAGAGGCGAGTGGGGTAGGGACCGAGGGATGCTGCGGCTCTTGAGCACTGGGCTGGGACTGGTGCTGGTTCCAGTTGGAGCACTTTATACAGCCTGGAGCGAAATAGTGAGCAAGTCTTCAGTGAGTGGAGCTGAGGGAAGTACGATTTAGGAGTGTAACCCATATTATGGAATTCGTCAGTCTAAAATCTTCTGTACCTGCAGAGTGTAGCAGCTCTACTGCCCAGCAGTTAGTGACGGCACACAGAATGCTATGATGAGTGAGATCAAGTATTTACCTTCTGTCCACTGAACCGGATCAGCTCAGCTCGTGCTCAAATGTGTTGGTTGCATTTCTTTGGTCTGAGGGAAGTGCTGTGCACTGTCAAACAAATACATTAGGTGAAGGAATGACTTTTGCTCCCTAACTTCATAGTATTCCATCTAGAAACTGATGGGAAAGAGACATGACAGCAGGTAATTGCAAAATTGACCCCTGCCCACCTGAATTCAGTTTCTGTGATACTTCTAGACTTAGCTTTATGTAATGCAATACATATTTTTATTATGCTCACAGTATATATAGAACAAGCTTACAAGATTTGACTGCGTGCTGATTTGGAGTAAAACAGTGCAGCTCAGAATCTGGTAGCTATAACAGAACTGATGGGCCTTGAAGCAGAGGAGGCTGTTGATAAATACCGACTTCAATACCAGTTTTGCATAACTGTGGAACTTGTTTTCATAAATGCAAAAACTGAATAATGCAGTTGCACTACAGTAAGTGTCTGTACTTTATTGGAACAGTTTAAGGAAGTGACAATTTATTTCAGCTCTTCTGGATTTTTCTCTTTTCAGCTGTTGGACAAATTGAAAGATCGCTGGATGCACACTGGCTTGTGGAGAAACCTGGAACTTGTTAAGACAGTCATTGCAGAGCCTCAAGGAGGAGCAAAAAGTGACTTCGATGAACTGCTGAAAATATACTACGATGCAATAAAATTTAAAGGAGAAAAAGGTACTTTCTGCAGACAATAGTTACACTGTCCTTTCAAGTTAAAAAAGAAATAAATTATTCTTAACGATTATAAGATATGGTTAAATACTGAAGTTAACTTTATCTTAAGAAATTATTGTTATAAATGAGGAAGATTAAGAGCTGTTTTCATTGTTGCATGCGGAGAAAGGGACGCACAGAATGATGCACAATCCTGATAGTGGTGTCCAAGAGGCAGTGAACTGTGTAGGAATGTGGGTTTGTGTGTCCAGCAGGGTGCAGACTGGCTTCTCAATCACTTTTACCATACATTGCAGCTCCTGTAGGATTTCTTTTCAAAATACCTGAATGTTAGTGTAAAGAATAAAGCATGATAGCATGTCAACAGTAACATAGTTTTTGGAATACAGAGCTGAAAGTTTTCAATTTGAAACACTGTGCATATAGTTCATGCATAATTAAGTACCACTGTCTTATATAATGGAAATTATTTTACTACTTGTATTAAAGATCACAATTTTATCAATGAAAATACAGTTGATCTCAACTTTCTAACAAAAAACGCTTCTAAATTTGAATCCCCTCACCTTTTCCAGACAGATGCACAATGTATTATGCTATATTATGTTGAGCTTTTAAAAGATATTGCTGAAACTTTCTTTTGATGTTTACTTTACCCCGGGAATGATGCATGTCCCTCTTTGGCTTCTTCAAGATGGAGCACTCCTAATAGCTGTGTGCAGAGGAAAAGTTAGTGAAGGCTTGGATTTCTGTGATGAGAATGCTCGAGCTGTTATAACCATAGGTATTCCGTTCCCAAATGTGAAAGACCTTCAGGTAGGACATGGATGTCTAATTGAAAGAGTTGTATGTTGTTTTTTGTATCCTGTTTGAAATATGACATATGCACAACATTTGTTGGAAATGTTTACCCTTGGACTCCAGTCTTATTTGAACCTTTTATTGCTTTCTACACAGTTAAAAGGAGGAACAGCTCAGCATGTTTTGTTGACCCATTTCTATAATTCTAAATACAAGTATATCACACTAGGGAAAAATACCGTAGATTCCTTTGACACTGCTAGTGAAGGCTTTTATATTGTTAAAGTGCTCTTTTTTGCCTAAAAGTGGTATTCTGATGCATCTCCAATTAAAGAAATTGGAGACTATTTGTGTTATTCAGCAGGTGGCCAAAGTAACATCCTGTTGCTTTTCCATTGCTGTGTAATTGCCCACATCAACACTTCCTTTCTTTTGACTTCAGCAGAGCTTGTGGTGTAGTTAGATAATGTTCCATGAGAGCAGTCAGTTTCTAGCTGAGACCAAGCATTTATTAAGGAAAAGAAAGCCAATGAATATGGAAAAGTATTTTTCTAGACTTTCTTTCTGCTTAATGAAAGGAATATGTATTATTAACTCATCTGGAAGATCACTAAAAATAAGCTAAGTGCATGATGCTTCACGGCTGGCACTTTTCTTCTCAGTATGATGGCCACTGTGTCTGTCCTTCTTTTTGTGTGCATTTTAGAGCATTTTTAGACTTCTTTGTGAAAATAAGAAAAAAGTATTACAGAATAAATATCAGAAACAGCTGGATTCTTGTTATTAATAATGCCAAATCAAACAAGAAAACCATGGGTCTGCACTTGAAAGCTCAAGCTGCCTCAGCTTTGGTTTTAGAGATGTGTTCTGAGCTTAAGTGAACAGCCAAAGACTTCTTTGTTGTCTGCAGCATGTGCCTAGTTAAAGCCTTGGTAGGAAAAACCCACATCCTATGAGGACTAGTAGGCTTGTGTTAGCAGTGGCTGCCTGGTGTGGTGTTCTCTCAATGTTTGCATAACTTTCTTGAGGCGTTTATTCAGCCATAACATTTTTCTTCTACTAGAACATAATACCCTGTCCTTTAGTATAAAAACATGTACATTCAAAGAAAATTCATCACAGTTTCTAGAGTTAGAAATGCTTTGTTTTAGAAGTGTTCTCTGAAATGATATTTTGGAAACACTTGGTCTGTAGTAGAGCTGGAACTGTTACATTTTGCTTTAAATGATTTCCAGAATGTCAATATTTTTGTATTCTAAACTGTACAAAATTGAATTGAAAAGTATGGGTCTATGGTGAATTATGCTCACAATGGATTATCTTCTTTAAGGTTAAAAATACTGCTTTTGATTTTCTTTCGGATATGACCAAATATGTAGTATAGTAGAAATTTGGGCAGTGCACCTCGTTACTGATAACAGTTCCAAAATACGAATGTTAGGTTTATCTATTTTTATTTTTATTTTTTTTTTTTAAATCAGACTGAAGAAAACCTCTAAATTGTTAAGTAAGGATGGAAGCAGTAGCTGCCAAATTGCGCACAGCTAAAGGTTTGTGTGCGTATATTTAGATGCAGTAATGCACAAAGCACTGCACTGATCAATTCTAAATGAGAGAAGGGCATGCACTGGTCTCTTAGCATCAGGTCTGAGAAGCTGGCTGTTGTGTGGTAGTGCTGCTAGAATGGTGCTAGGGGAAATTGTTCTTACTGTCAGTGTGTCTTCTGCTCAACAGCTTGGATTCAAAATGATCTCCAACTAGCAGTACTTCCCTGCAAGTTGAATAATGCTCTGTTTGGTCCAAGGTCTGGATTACTGCATGCTTCTTTTACCACTTAAGCTCATGTAGTCAGCTGGATAAGGGAGGCTACACAGAAAGCATACTAAAGCTATAGTGCTGTTTCCCACAAAGGAGTGGAAGAAATGTAATAAAAATGGTATGAAAAAGTATGTGCTACATCATTTAAAAAAAAAAAAAAAAGTAAATTTCATGTAAAACTAATGTAATATCTGATTGCTGGGGCTAAATGATATTTGCTCCATTCTGTTTGTGGTGCAGCTTTGTTATCCATACTTATTAAAATTAGATCTTAATCCTTTGAAACTGAGATGGGAATGGGGTTTTAAAGTGAAAGTTGATGTTCAAATACTTGCTTTAAACAGTGGAAATAATTTAGAACAGTTATCATGAAAGATAATTGCAGTATTTCATTAAAATACATTTTCCTATTCAGTATTGTTTTGAAGACATAGTAGTTGTGTTTGTCATAGTAAGAATAGAGGAATTCTCTCTTGCAGGTACAAGTGAGTGACTTTCTTTTAGGGTGTTCGATCTTCATTGAATGTACAATTTCTTCACTTGAAATCCTTTTTTCTCCTGGGATTAGAAGAATCCAGATTTTAAAATATTAGAAGACACTGCTTTGTTTCTTTTCTTTTTGTAGGATTTTAGGAAGTGTGAGTTCCTAACTGAAATGGTTCAGAGTTCATGGGATAGTTAAGACGATTGCTCTTGTGGTATACATGGCTAGCTACATCAGAAGATAGGCTGAATACTGAAAACCTTAAAACTTCCAGCTTTGAAGATTTGTATGGTGTTTAAATTCTGAGGAGATAATTCTGAACTCAAGTTAGAGCTAAGTAGGTCTAACACCTATGGAAACAAGAGTTGCATCTCTTGTTTTACAAAGCAACTGATGCTTGGTAGATGTACTGAAGAAACTGATAAGATTATTAGTAATGATATCCCTTTATAAATAGAAAATGCAAGTGGCTAATAATTCCCCAGGAAAATTCATGGGATACTTCTGGAATTGGGGTAAATAACAAAAAAGTGCTTTCTCTACGTAAAACCACACTTGCTTGTCTGCTTTTTGGGCTAGTAGAAGTCTAGTAAAAGTCCTCTTAAGACTCAGCTCTATAACCCCTTACTCCTGCACATAGCTCTTCCTTGTGTGAGTAATCCCTGTAATACTACTAGGACTATGCACAGTCATAAGGGTTTATTGAACTGTGCCTTTGGAGACCGGTATTTTATGTTGGCAGCTTGATATTGGCTCATCTCCACTAATATTACTTGTCTGTGACCAACCTGCTTTCTAAATAAATTTTATGGTTTGTAACTTGATGCTAATTCCAGTGAACCGTAATATTAGAGAACATAAATAATGTGGCAGAAAAAGATGCGTAGTGCTGCATACATGTTATCTGATGCTAACATACTGTTTAGGCCCACTGTTTAACATTTTGGATCCAGGTATCGTTCTTGGACAAGAAACTCATCACCAAATACGTTGTAAAATATGCGATATTATGTTCTCCATATGTGTGTTGTAAACATATGCTACAACTTCAGGTGTTAAAAGGAGAGCGTTTGGTCTCTTTCAGTAACTGTATGCTTTTGTATGTGCATTATTTTGTGTAGAACCTTTAAGGAATGTATTTTTGTTTCTTTTCCAGTTGCTTCACCTAAGAATTTTAAGCCCATGGTAACTTACATTCAATCACTGTCACAAAGAGAGGAGTCTAAAACTCTTTGTCAGTGTTAGGAAGAAAGCAATGATTAGGTTTCATAAGTGTGCTTCATAATAACAATACTGTGTTAAGAAAGGGAGACCAAACCTGTAATTCTGTATGATTGAAAATGGTTTCATATTGCTGAGGAATCAGGTTGCTAAAGCAAAATATATAAAAGAAATGTTGAAGTATTGCTTAAAGCTACGGTGCTCTCAATGGTAGAGTTTGGCTCTTGTGAAGCAGGAAAATGCATTTCAGAGCCAAAAATGACTTCTTTGGCTGTGACCAGGATTTCCTCTGCCCACCTCTGGGACCTGAAACTAGAGGTAGGAAAATCTGATTTTGGAGCCAAGTGTGACTTGTGTAGTTCAAGTCATAATTTACTACTTTTACCCTGGGGACCTGAAAATAAAGGAACTCGCTATGAAATGTTGATAATGGGCGGCTCTGAAGTGCAAGCATTAAGCTAACTTTCCCAGAGAGCATTTCTTCACTTCCACCTTTCCAGATGCTTTTGATCGTAGTACAGTAGAGTGTAAATAATCATATAACAGCGAAGAGAACTTAGCAAAATAGAGAGGAAAACAGAGTCAAACCCTTTAGCAGCAATAGATGTGCAAAAGAAAGAAACTAGATAAGGCTGGACTTCCTGTGCAATGACACGACTCAAGAACTGTAGCTGAGTTTGCTGTTAATGAGAAGTATTTCCCACCACTGCCATACTGTGATTATGAACTACGATAGCACATTTTTTCTTTACTGTTTCCAGCGATCGTATTTTGTAGAATGTGAAGTAACACAATTTCAGTTACAATTTTCTTGGTTACGTGCAACCTCAAGCAGCTGAAAGGCTGAAGTTTCTTCTGGAGGGATCAAAAAAATTGACATGTTTGTATCATTTCAGATGTTTCTGAGAAACTTTGCATCATCTTTCCTGTCTAATTTGATGTCATAGAAGCCTAAAATATGTGAGATATCATTTGCAGATGACCTGGCATCAGTGTGATTTAAATGATTGTAGAAAGTGGTCTTATTTTGTGTGTGATCATCTATCTTAATGGTTTTCTAAACCTGATCTGTATTTACTTCTCCTTCACTCTATTACTGAAGGGGGAAAAAAAAAAAATAAAGTAAGGAGCAGAGATAAATGAATGGAACTTTCATAGGAAAGCCATGCGTTGTAGTATTTTATTTATTGAATGTCCTCTTATTTATTGAATGTCCTTTAAGAGGAACAAATAGAGTAGGGTAAAAGTGCAATGTATGTTCATTCTTGTGTGTGCACACTTACATTTCTTTCTTCCATGCCACACTTCATATTCAATTTTATTTTATGCTTTAATTGTAAAGTAGCTTCTTAAAACAAGAAGTATGTAAGCAATAAATGCAGCATTGGAATGTACAGTATTATGTAGTAAATCTTTGAGTGTTAAATTTATACACTTACTGGGGCAACCTACTTCTAAATTTTGTAAAAAAAAAAAAAAAAAAAAAAAAAGA